TCTTCTTCGATCCCCAGGAATTTTTGCTTCCATTTTGCGATCCATTTTTGTTAGGAGTAGACTTTTTGCTGAGGTTGCTAGCAAATGCAGCCCATGGTGTATTTGGATTCACCGTCAAATTGATGTTGATAGGAGAAGCAGGAGCCACGTTATTGGGACTCGCTACCTTTGCCAGAGGCGAAGCAGCCTTGGTTTGTTGAGGACCAACGTTGGTATCCCATCCTTGCTCCTTATTCTTGGCACCTGTCGTCGATGCTGCGTCTGCTGGAATGGCCCCCGACATAACATGCTTCGGAGATCCCTTTGGAGAAAGACCTTTAGGAGACGAGGGACCCCACCACGGCGGCATCTGCATTCCCATCTGCATCGGGTCGACTGCTGCCATGACTGGCGGTCCTCCAGGCATACAAGTGACGGGCATAGAGCCCCAGGGAGACTGGCCCTTGAAGTGGTTGTCTCCGGGGTTTGAGGGATTGGCGAAACCGTAAAAATAGGGGTTCTGCAGGGGATGGGGGACGCCCATCGGCAAAGGAGCATTGTTTGGATCGCGAGCAGGATAGAGCAAGCCGTAAGGATTGCCGTAGGCTGGTCCATGATAGACTCGGACAACGCCGTGCTGAGGGTCGTGGAATGCGTTGGGTCGAGGATCTTCGACGCCCTCAATGGTATGCTCAACTTGAATGACCTCCGCGCGAATGGGCATTATGAGATTGGGTCGGCGTAGGTGAGGAGACAACGCCGCCTTGGGCATTACTTTCTGAGGCTTGTCGACTTTCTTGGTCTCGTTCGTCTTCCCTCCTCCATTCTTGCTTCGGGCTTTCTTGACTGTAGGACCGACGTTGTTGGGCTCGGTATCGGCTGGAACGGCGCTTTCCTTCGTCTTAGATGACTTTTTGACATTGTCCTTCGTCTTTTCTTGTCTCTTCTTCTTGAGAGGTGCCGGCGTCTCCTCCTCAGTCTCATCTGTCTCACTTTCGGACGAAGAATCCACTACCTTCTTCATAGCTGCCTTGGCACCTCTCTTCTTCTTCTTCGACTTAGCTTCCGACTCAGATTCGGATGTGTCATCTGTCTTCTCCGATTTCTTCATGTCTGCTTCCTCCGTGGTTAGTTTCGTCTTCTCCTGATGAATTTCGATACTCATGCCCGCACTGGATGTTGGTATCACCTTTGGACTTAGCTTCTGCGTCCACAGCCTTCAGCGCAGGCTTTGACGAGGCCTGTTCAAAACGGACCTTCTTGGAGCCGGGTCCCGGAGAGTCCTTGCTGCGATTGGCGCGCGGGTATGTGATCTTGACCGTATCCTCCTCGGATTCGTCGTCGGTGGAAATCTCGACGCAGATCCGCTGTCTGCTGCTGGACTTCTTGCGTCTGCGCCTTTCAATAGAGTTGAAGTATTCCTCGACGCTGACTCCAAGGGCCCACTCGCAGAGAGTAGAGCTGCGGGCGTTACGCGTCATGGTGGAGGTTGACTACCGAGATGCTGTCAGTGGGAGGTTCTGTACTGTGGATGCAGCCCGATCGTCAACGAATATTGCGGAATCCGCCTTCGACTAGTTTCTTTCTAGAGAACTTTCAGGAAGGGAAAGCACAGAATTAGGGTGGTATCTCTGCATTGATGGGTTCATTGGATGCAAAAGGAGGTGAATCCTGAGTACGAAGGTAGGTGAAGCCAGGTCAGAGTGACTACCTCGCCCGCATTGGAAGGAACTGCCCGACTTCTGTACCTGCCCAAAGTAAATCACCTACTTTAGGTAGCCAGTACTACTGGACTCTGAAAGTAAATCACATGTCAATCATCCAATAAGAGTACAAATAATAGTAGGCAAAAAAGAAAGGCTCCAATTCTCTTCGGACATCATGATCTCAAATTCAGAGAGAAAAAATTCCCTGTCACGCTCAATCATACCTTACAGACTTCTTGACAGCTAAATAAACCCACTCATTCGCATCGCTTTGAGTTTTCACGCATGCAAAATAATCAGGCAAATGTGGCGTCTCGAAATCACTCTTATGGGGTTCGCAATCTACCTAGGTTCAGGTTGAGGCATCCAGCCTCTTCCGAGCCATCGTCAAACGACCCCAGGAATAGAAATATTGGTCTACTTCCAAGCCACGCATTGAAGCTGCCTCCAATTTCGACCTTAACCGCAACTTTGGCGGCCTGGGCGAGAGCATTCTCTGGCATGTCGACATAGGAAACCATTGACTTTATCCTCCTCTCCCTTTCATCCCATTCAGCCCAATCTGGTATCCGTATTGTCCTTGGGCGAATGACGTGAACAAATCCTTAAAGCAGACAGATTATCTGCTCTAATGATCGTCCTAATATCTTGTCAGTTGTTGTAGCTTTGCCATAGATTACATGCCTTACCTGACGGTCTGAGGGCCAATGACGGATTAGAGGGGTCTGAAGGGCAAGTTGCCGGAAAGTTGAATCATCTGCTATGATCAGACATGGGGGCCTCCTCATTCCTTTTCGCATACTCACGAGGGCATCTTCTCCGTTTCATCATTCACCCCAAGATCTTCCAAATCATCTCGCTGCCCGTTGACGCTGCTTGGAACGTTAGCAATTCATCTCGTTTCCTTCTAATTGAGGTGAAATACCTATGATGAAGGAATACTTCAGTTGGGCAAACGGACGGCGTAGAAGTAGCCCTCGTTGGTGACATACCAACGGCAATCGCCAAGGTTGTCAATAGTGAAACGATTGCGCTGGGTCCAGTTACCATCAACCTCTCGAACGGGATAGTAGCGGGATGGGTCATCGTCCGCAGGCTTGAAGTCCTGGGGCTCGAAGAGACCATTGGAATAGGCAAACTGGGCCTGCTCCATGGCGACCTCTCCAGCGGTCTTGCCATATCCAGTGACGTCCGGAGGAAGATTGGTATTACCTGGGAAGACGGGCATTCCACCTCCGCCCATGTTGGGAGGCATATTCATACCCATGTGGGCACCCTGGAACATGGGAGGGCCACTAAAACCGGCGGGAGGAGCCTGAAGCATGATCGGAGGGTGCATGCTCATGCCCGCGTGCATAGCAGGCTGTTGGGCCATGATGATGGGAGGCTGAGGGGGGGCCTGGCCAATGTAGGTGATGTTGTTGGCGGGGGACTGCTACAATCTCAAGTCAGCAAACTATTTCTCGAAACCTTGGGTGAGCTTAGTGAGATGAAAATGAGGCGGCTAGATGAAGCAAAGAAATCCAGGTGCCCGATGAATCACACAAGCCGCTCGGCTCAGGAAGCAATCGCAGCGTATGTGCGCTGGGGACTTGCATAATAATGAACAACAACAAGAGGTGCACCAAGCAGAACTGGAGTAGGCTTCGGGGCAACAAAAGAGGCCACTGGCAGAGCCTGAGCATGAGGGAGACCGACGTGATAGACTGGAGGCATTCCGTTGTCGAAGCGAGGCACGTAAACGTGCTGCATGGGGCCGTAGGTGGTGTCGGGAACCGGCGGCTGGAAGTGAAGGCCACTAGTAGGCGGAGCGACGTTCTGGTAGTCGGCCATGTTGACGTAGGGAGGCGCGGTAAGTCCGTACGGGTTGAATTTACCGAAAGGCGCGAACGAGTTGGTCTCGGAGATGTAGGCGGGGTGCACGGTGGAGGGTATGAAAGGGTTGAGGTGTGGGTGAGCAGCCTGACCGAAGGGTGTGGGAGGAAAGTGATGGCCAAGATTGACTGAGGCAGAGGGATTGGTTGAGGTGTGGAGGAAAACACCGCTGTCTTCACCCACGTCGCTTTCGTGGGTGTTGAAGGCAGGAGCGGTCGAGGTGTCGGTTCCCTGGGTAACGGGGAAGGAGGCACCTGGGTTGCTGCGGTCCTCCGTGAAGCGCACCTGCCGCGGGCCGGTGGTATTGGCAGCCGACTTGCTCTTGGGAGACTTCATGGCGGATTTGCTGGACTCGATTGTATGTTGAACTCGACGCCGAAACCTTGTTTCTAGAGTATCGAGGTCGTTTTTGTTTCGATTGGTGTATCAAACTCGGAAATCCAGGGGTAGAGACCAAATGCCAGGAGACGAGACTCCTTTATCGATGGAGGGCTTTGATGAGCTGAGAGTTCTCACCTCATCACAGTCTTGTGTGAATTGATAGAAAATGAGGCTGATCAAAGAGATGTGAAGGAGAAGAGATCTGAAGAGCGGTCCAAGGCGAGAACTCAGCCAGATCTCTTCACCCAGCCGCATGAAGATCCACTGCGGCTTGAAGCTTTTGGTATACCAATGACCCGCTCCAGTGATGTCTTGGCCGGCTCTTTGTCTCTGAGGCCGAAAGACAAGAAAAGGGGGCAGCTCATTGCATGATCTTCCGGGGGCTTACTAGAAAAACGGAGGGAAATAACGGCAATGGTTGGGATTGCAAGAGAGGGTAAAGAAAGCAAAAGGTATCCAAGAGACATTCTACTTACAACATCTATAGCGTATCTCTGGCCATCCCAGCCAAGGCGATAGACAAGTGGCGGATCCTCGTTGTCGTAGTGTGCCTTCGAGAAAGGCCAAAATCCGCACATGTTGACGTTGCCTGGAAGACGAGCAGTCGGAAAGATTCGAATAGTTTGCAATAATGTTGCTTGAGGATTCGGGTCCGAGGACGGTGGTGGTAGGAGTGAAAGATGAAGTCAGTCGGGAGTGGGGTTTTAAGCAGCAATCGATTGCGACAGGTTCGCTCTAGAGGCGGTTTCTAGGTCCTTGATCTCGAATGGCGCTTGGGATGGTAATCACTGATGATGAATCTGGCCCTTTGCATGCCTTGATATTGAAAGAAGACCGCATCTTCCTTGGAATTGATATCGGGTACATAGCGGATGCAATGCGACAACGCAGTTCATTAATTTTCAATTTGAGCCTCACGGCAATATAAAAACACCGAAACGCAGGTGCCAAACTGGCCAAGACATACGAATATCCAACTCCGAAGCACAATCGATACTCGCGTCAACACGTGGCTGAGCTACCATGGGGCGAGCGAGCAAGAACAACGCGCAAAATCCATCAGCGGAAATCCGCAGGCCAATCATTGTCTTCAATATCTCCGTCAAAAGAAGATTCCAACAGTCTGTCAATGTCATGAGGAAAGAAGCCGTTTGCAGCGAACATTGATGCCAGAGGCGCAAGCAAAGGTTGGCCGACCAGTTGCAGGATTTCGGGCAGCTGCTTGATCGATTTGCGCTGCCACAGCTAATGAGCGGTTAATCCCAAGTCTTCGACCCGAAACGCGATGTGCTTGACTTACCTTGACCAAGCCAACTGTATTTTCTTCTGCTTCTCCTACTCTATTCATCGTATCAAAGGCATCTTTGCCACCAAAGTCATGCGAGGCCTTCTCGTTCACTGCAATGTCAATACTTTGTTGGGCGTCGATCCTCGCGTAACTCCACGTATCATTCATCGTGCCAAGATTATTGAACCAGGTCGGATACGTCCTGGCGATGGCGATTTTGGGGGGATGCGTATCCGACTTTGATATCATAAAGTCGCCGACTTTTTGTAAGAAAGTTTACTTGATGTTCTCCACGCTACCGCCCCGTTTGATGGTGGCCTCGTAATGATACACAGACATTGTTTTGATGAAAGCTTCGAAGTCGGTCCACACCGGCCAGGACGACTTCTGGAGGATCGAGCCGCCATTCCTGTCAAGGTATATCAATACGACGTGAGAGGACTCGCTGTCGATCAGAGAGGAATTACTCAGGCAAAACATTTTTACTCGGGAAACTTCCTGGATCTAAGAAATGGAAGTCAGCAGGGTTTTTCACAACGAAAGTTACGGATATTTTTGAACCTTTTCCTCAGGAAGAGATGCAATGCCCGCTTGTGGTTTCCAATGTCATCGAGCTCGCTTGGAGGACTAAGACCTTCAGTACCATCATCGCTGCGAGCTTAATCGTAGGCATCGTAGGCACCGTCGGTCTCATCGGTCTCGCCGATCTCCTGCGACAAACATTCGTACAAGACCACCAGCCCATCATACGACAACGACCGAATCGTTGGAGACCGTGTTCTCGGACGCTGAGAGATTCGGGGAGATAGCTTGTTTCTCTAGGTAGTGGCGACGAGGTATCGTAGGGAAGAAAGCGTTGTCCACGGACTTCGTTGTATACGTGAACTCCTATTGAACCTATATCAGATGTAGCGCGATCGAGATGCTTCGCTCTAGCTTGTATATTGTCCAGCTCAAGATCGATCAAGCTTGTCGCGAGTTGCGGATGTCTTCATCTTCCGCGGTCGTGACCGTAGCTGATAGTGAAAAATAACTTCACGTCGAGTCTATCACGCGATTTCAGGTGAAGCAGACATAATAGAAATGGTATCTAGCCTGCTGCATCTCCATGCTTATGTTTTCCTGGGGCATGGGGGTAGCGATGAAAGGCGATCGGCAGCCTGAGGAGAGCCTGTACTAGTTAGATGCTGCTCAGGACGTCTCTTCCATTGCCATCAGGCTGGCAGGCCAGTCCAATATGGCAACAACCGTCTAGGACACTTGGACGTAGAAGGAACGTGTAATGTTGTTCTTTTTTTGACAGGTACCGAACGCCCACTTCCACCCAGTGATGCGGTCTTCTAATGCTCCTTCCTAAATACTGTACACGGGTCCACTTGAGGAGAGATCGTCCGTCACAATGCCCAAGACTCCTCTAAGGCGCTCTAAATTTCCTTACTCAAACAACAGATAGAAGAAGCTCGCAATGGCGAGCATCATCGTCCACAGATCCAACGTGATCCATGGGCATAATGAATAATCATTACTGGCGGGTTTCAACGGGGACAATTCGTCAGGTTATGTCGTAAATTACAAGGTGGCATGCTCGGAAGTAATAGGCTCGGGGGCAGAGAAGAAAGTACTGCGGACAACCTGCGAAAACGATTAGATATGCGACGCCAATATACTTGTGAAGGCGGCAACTTACAGCCCAGGCACCGGCCACGGAGGCCACAACACCACCGGAAATCAACATGGGCCGCACACCCCTTGTGCTCTTGAAAACCATTCCACTAAAAGCGCCAGCCAAGATCGTGTTGGCAGAGTCGTGCTTTCCCCTGAAGTAGCCGATACCCGCGTTGAAAAAGTTGTAGGTAATGGCAACGACACCAGCGGAGTTACCCAGGAAGGGGCCACGGCGAGTGACGGCGTTAAGCACTGAGTTAAGTCGTAGCTTCGGCGGCTGGTTGGCTGATCTCCTCAGACCCTCTTGCAGTCCCCAGGCTCCTCCTATCGACAAGGCTGCCAAGTATGTGACTCCCGTTCCGTAGCAAAGGTCATCGGTGAAGCCTCGGGAGGGGAGGGCAGACTGGCCAGGGACATCCGCCAGAGCCGCATCTTCGAGAGAAAGGTATTCGAGTGTGTCCTTGTTCAGTCCAGAGAGGGGGTGTAGTTGCGCGGGGTCGGCAAAGGATGAGCTCTGAAGGAAAGACTCGACGCCAGATCCTGCTGAAGGGTCGAACTGTGCTGGGGTGTTCTGGAAGGTGGTTGTAGGTTCGGGGGCCGGTGAAGACTGGGAAGCACCGGCGTCCTTCTGAGAGGACTTGCGACCAGAAAGGGTATCCCAAAGCGACGACATGGTGAAGGTTGTGGACGTGGCGGATGAATGAAGCCGGGGATCGGAGTTGGACAGTGGACAGGAGATGTGGGCTTGCAGGCCGATGATGGAAGCTGTCGAAAAAATTTGGGCAGACCAATCGCGACTTGGCCCGTGCGTTCAGAAAGGCAGTGGAAAGTGACGGATACAGTTGCATTGGCACATTCAGATGGACTCCACTTATCCGGCCATCTTTCGGGAAAGCTCAAGTTCAGATTCTCCGGCTTACCTCATCGCAGCAGTTCTTTTAACCTTCATGTGATGAGTCAGCATTCGCCAGAAAGTCGACTACTGGTGCTGGCACATCAGGTAATATATCAATGTCCTTCATTTGCCCCGAAGCTGGAGCAGCCTGTAAAGGCGGTGCCCACAGGTAATGGCATGGGGAGGGTCCACCCAAGGTGAGGTAACGATCTGAGTAGGCGCCGATTTAGTGTTTCCAGAATTAGACAGGCAAACAACAACATGTCATACCAGCAAAAGCGAGGTCGTATCTGCTCTTTCTTGCGAAGCGGTGGCCCACTCCCTTGGCTACTTGTTTCGGAACCAATTCTTGCTGAACTACATTTGTATGGTGGAACCTGATTCGATGCTCTCGAGGGCAAGACTCTGTAGGATCGGTCTCGGAACTGACTCACTGCCTCTTCGGTTTTTTTTGTTGCCTGCTGTAGCCTGTGAGGCCCAAGCCTGAGCCAGACTGTATGCCCTAAGATGAGAGGGAGGAAGCCCTGTGGTACAATGATTGGAGAGTAGTACCGGGCAGAAGCTGGCAAAGCAGCCTGCCTGATATGCAAATAGCCGATGAGAAGTCGTTGTGACTCGTCCAGCGGCGCAAACATGCAGGAAATTCATCTATGTGTCACTTAGAAACGGGAGCAGAACAAGTAACGCCTTACTGCGCCGTCTTGAGACCGATTAAAGATCATTTTTGGTCGTTGATTGCCTGCTGCTTCTAGTGACACAGTTACTCAAGGGCTGTCCTCGTTTTTGAATGAGCATACTATATAAGCGAGGTATCTATCGCCTTTTACTTTGTCGTACTTTTTCGTTACGAATTTTTGTTGTCTGCCTCGCATCATTGTCATATCTCGTACAGCAAGAAGATTATCATTCGTGCAGAAGCACGTCACTTACATTCTCAACGAAGTATAGTCTTAAGCTAAGAAGATGCTGAACCTCATCAGCATGGGCGTTTGGGCTCTTCAGGTTTGCGACAATACACTTGTCTCGTCCAGTAAACCCTGGAAATTAGGTTGAGCTAACACTGCGCGTCCCTCAGGGTATCATGGCTATCGTTGTCCTCGGGCTATCTATCGACCTCGTCAAGGGACAGAAGATTGGCGACGCTCCCACGACTACCAAATACAGCACATTTACTGGCGGCTTTGGATTAGCCGTCGCCGTGCTGGGCTTGGTAGCTGTTTTCATAGACGCCATTCCGGCTCTCGTAGTGATGGCCGCGGACGCCTTGAGTGGGGTCTTACTCCTCGGCGGTGGTATAGTAAGTCCATCGATGATCATACCATGTACTTGCTATTAACAACATGGCAGGCTTTCGCAATTGGGTTACACGGTGTTGCATGTGACGAAAAGCATTGGAAAGCCATTGGGAACAACGATATCATCAACGGTGGAAAATTCAAGCAGGATGGACAGTGGTACTTGGCACCTGGCATGACCGAAAGTGTCTTGTTAGAGAGGTGCAGGAAGGCAACCGCAGACCAGGCTATGCAGTTTGTGACGTTCGGGTTCGCGCTGACGACTATTGTCCTCATATTCCTGGTCTGGAAGAATGGTCGCGGAGGTCGAGGCACCAACTACGTCTGACAACCTGAAGGCGTGATCATAGCTGCCATAGAGACGGACCCGCTTGCTCCCATGTCACTTTTGGCGGAGGATGACCGTTCGTGTTGGACAGTCATACAAGGCCTCTGCTTTCATGGTTCAGGAATTGAAAGGTAGCAGCCTAACGTCGTCCCTAAACCGACAGCAACCGTGCAAACACACGACAGTGTCATAGGCGCAAATCTCGACGTAGGTTTGTAGATCGATCCGCCTGTCATGCGCGTAAGTCACTACTGAGATCCCCGGCCGATATTTTAGACGGAGGATTCCGTGATCTAACCAGGTAACTGGTAAAAGACCATGGTTCAACCAAGGTTTTGCGAGGCATTGGCGTATGGAGGAACAACTGCTCTCTTGGCCCATTTGGCTCTTCTGCGCACAGGTTTCAGGTCGGTAGGAACACGAACGAGTTGTTCCGCACTACAGGTTCCGGTTTAATAACTCAGGTTCCTTTACAAAAGGATGTTGAGACCACCCCACAGTCAAATACCAGGAAGAGTCGTCATACTCGGCTGATAAGGAAAGGTGTTCACATAGGATTTACTTTAGGAGGCCGGGAACGGAAGAAAGTCCAAGGAGAACAGGACAACCCTCAGCAAGCCGCATAGCGGAGCCGCCATACAGACCAAAAACATATGTCGATGTAAATTTGATCCGGATTGTAGTAAAGAGGAAAAGAGAAGACAAGAGAGGCTTCCTCACAAGAAGAGATTTTTATGGTTGGTGAGGTGTGGGGCTGGTCGCAGTCCTGCCCGCGCTAGCCCTGCCGCCGTTTCTGTTTCTCCGGCTCACGCTGGTCTGTGCTTGACGTGCAGTTCAGGTCCTGGAACTCCACTTCCCGCCAGACGCCCTGGGCCCCTGTCTACCTGGCAGCATGGTACCGCTACCATGACGACACAGCACATATTGCCCGAATGGAGGTAGTTGTACACCTCATACCGACGCTGTGATTAACAGCAGCAGGCAAAGGCTGTCGAGTGAGCTTCCAAGGAACGCGCCCAAGTGTGTGCTATGATGACGCGCGCCGCACCTACATCGTTTGACCCCCGAGGTCGACATCACTCACCTCGGTGCACTTTTCAAAGTGGCTGACCATCCTGTAACAACACCATAATCAGCATCAGTCGTCTAGCCATTTCACCGAAACAAACATGGCGCCGGTGCCCTTGGAACCGGAAGTGAAGTGTGTTTGATCATCGAAATGAAAGCCAACGATCCTAACGTGATATTCAGGTACCTGCCTTTGAGCTTGGTGGCTGGCCATGCGCTTGCAGTGGCAATTCTCGGCACCACTGTCGCTCGAAGTCTGTACAGCTCGTATCAGCACTTGCCGCCATCTCAAGGAACAAGAGCAAGACTTGTTCGCCGTTCAGCTCTTGCGCCGTTGTTCGCAAGTTTGGCACTCATTAGCTTGTCTTTTGCAAGTTACTGGGCCTCAAGCTATGCGAAACTTTCATATCGCGTCTGGGCAGATCAGCGTGGAGTTGAAGCTCCAGTTCGGTTTGTTTCGTCTTCTGCGCTTTCTTTGTCTGGCTTACTCATGGAACCTTAGCTTCTATGGCGATCATGGAGTCATCCCTAACGAAACTGCGATTCAAGTCTTTATTGGCCGCTGGCTAAGTGACACTCCAATACACCTAGACGCTCTCGAGATCATCGCCGAGAAAGCTCGTCGGTTCTGGTGGGGCCAGCAAATCGAACTCGCAACGGTCTCATGGAGCTTGCTGTTGGCAGTCGAAGGCACACGAAGAAGAATCCCTTCTGTCTGGGCCTACCTCGGATTAGCACATCTCGTCAGCCTCTCGTTCGCCCAGAACCTCTTCTATCTCGCACTGCTTCTTACTCCTGCCCCGACCACCACTGCAGACGACAGACATCCCACCTCTGCACTAGGATGCCTGCGCGAGAGATTACTGCCTGTGAAGCCTATCAATTGGACGCCACACCCGGCCTTGCTCTTGGCATCGTTCTGCTTTACATACGTTCTGATATACTGGGCTCCGTCGACAACAGGCACAGCGACATTTGCCCGGATCGCAATCTTTGGGCGACTTCTGACCTTTGGTCCCATTGTCATTCCCGCCGTCATTCCAGCTAGTTGGGGCACAGTATACTCTGATGCTCACGGAGCATACGGCATATTCACTGAACTCTTTCGCTTTGTGTCCACAGCAAGTTTTGCCTTCCACGTCAAAGGCACCGCGCTTGCTTTGCTCTACAATGCGCCAAATGCTCACTATCATCGTCATAGCCGGTTCCTGCCTTTTGACACAGAGAAACGCTCGACGTGGGAGCGTACAACAACGGCGCTGGGGAAAGTCTTGGGATCGGCATCCGACCATCCTGTTGTAGCTGCTGTGGCATGGGACGTTTTACTCAGCGGACTCAGCCAAGGGTTATGGGCGGCTACACGTGTGCTGGATGTAAATGACATTCTAGCTGCCTCTACTCCACTCGCTCCGAACGATTTATCGAAGGCAAAGCCACCACCCAGACTACTGGGAGGAAGTGACAAAACAAAGCCGGAATCGGAATCGTCCAGCCACACCAACACAGTCTCCACGCGACGCAGGGGCAATCAACATGCAGAAAAAAATAAGTCTGCAGAGATGACAATTTCAGAGACACCTTCGTCTAGAAGCACTCGTCAAGGCCGTACCCTGAAGCGTACGGCAAACCCCGAAGAGGCACCAGAAGATGCGTACGAGCCGAGTCCTGCGGAAAGCCGCACTGCTGTCGAAGGCGACGAACTGCCCGATGAGGATATGGACTGGGAATCTGCAGCGTTGGCCTGGGGTCTCACAGCTCTGGGAGGCCTTGGATCTAGCAGCGCTGGTGTTTTTGGAGCCGAGTGCACATCTCGATGAGCCATGTTAGATCAGCAGGGGTACTCGAATTCTCGCGCACTCTTGGTAGCGCACACACAAGGTTCTTCTTTGTCTAAGCTTGTATCCCCTTCTGCACATCTAAATTGGCTCGATTCGGTACTAGGCAGAGTCGAAGACAGCCAGAATGGGTTCTGGCAGCAGCCCGGCGGTTGTCACTGCGTTGGTAGCGGCGTTCCGGAAATGGCTAGGTCTTTGGAGATAGAGTGCACCAATTGATGTCCTTTCGACGCACACGCGCGGGTAGTTGTTTGATCTTTGAGCCCGAGAATTGCTGCTTACGATTCTATTGAGTTTAGAGTACCTGAGACTAAGTGAGACATGGCGGGAATCCAGGCCTGCAGCGCTAACCGGCCTGGCCGGTACCATCGGGGACGGGTCGGTTTTCTCAAAGAAGACATTTTGGGACGGCCAGAATGCAGAACAATGAGTTTAGAGATCGGGTCGAGACCGTCGAAGACCTCAACCCCGCCACGTTGAAGATCATCTGGATCAGGGGAGAGCAGGAAACATCGGAACCCGGTGGCATTACTATCGGCCAAGGCGAGGGAGCTTCTCCAAGAGCAATGGCTAGGCTACCAGAACAGGTGTTTTTGGAATGACGTCGCCCCGCATTTGAAGAAGACCCCCGCATACAGCCGGAGGCGGACGCTGCGCCATCCAAGAAGCCTTCCATCTTGAGCACGTAAGGTAGCATCGGCCTGGAGAGTCGATCTCCGGCCCGTATGGTGTGAGTGGTGCCTTACCACTCCTACCCAGCGCGTTGTTAGTCCATTTGGACGCTGCCCTGCATATGGCCTCACGGGTCGTGAAAGCAGCGGCTAGCGAGCAACCCCAACCATGCAGGGTCCTGGAAAGGTCCTTTGAGCGACACGGATCCCACCATCTTGGGTCCTTCCAACGGTGCTATTCTTTGGGATCGCCACATCCGTTCCCCTCCCATGCTGCCAAGTCTTTTGGCTTTTATCACACCTGGATAAATACCATCGGGCTCCCCTACCATTATTCTCCTCTTTTAATTCACTCAGACAAACCAACAGCCTACAACGCCAATCCAGAGCCATACCACACATCTTCAATACCAGTCTTCACCTGTCCAAACATATCACCAAATATATCAGGCATCCTTTCAAGCAGTTTCCTAAAGGATCAGCCACCGTTATCATCTTCTGCCTTTCCATCATCCACTTCTTCAATAGCTCTACATACATATCATCAACACTTTCGTAATGGCCATCCGCGATCACTTCCGCCGCCGCAAGTCCATCTCCGAGCCTAGCCAGGGAGAGCGTACCAGCTCAGACCCAAAGTCCCCAGCTCTCCGCCTCGCAAAGACATTTGGATGGCGCTCAGCAAAGGAAGAGAAGCCAAAGAAGAAGACTGCCATCAAGGAGAAGGAGGCCGATCCGCGCGAGAGGCCCTTCAACGAGACCAACCTCAGACACCAGGAGATTCTCAACGGCTTCACCATGACATTCGGAAAGGGCCAGCGCCCGATGAGCCGCGATGCGCGGTCGAGTTACTACAGCATCAACGTCAGCCCCGGCACATCACGCCACAACAGTGTGGACGTGGATGACAGCCCGCTCCGGATGAACCCCTTGCCTCGCGAGAGTCAGTTCCGGTCCGTCCCGGAAGAGGATGAGAGGCCTTGAGGTTCTCGGCCCGAGGGGTTCTCGACCGTTCTCGTCTGAGACACTTTTATTTCCCATATTGGGTATCGAGAGACAACCGATTTCGGCGTCTCGAAGCGTCCTTTTCCGGCATCGCCTTGGAGTTTGGGGTCGAAATTTTGGGGGGGGGAAAGGTCACCATGGCCGTTGTGTTCGAGCCTTGGTTTTTGATTTTTACATGATAATGGGGAACTTGGATTGGGAATGGCATCTGAGTTACTGTATGAACATGACAACACTTCTTGACTTGGATATAACAAGATGGCACTGAGGCAAGGACTACTCCACCTCGAAACCGACGATACACACGAGAAATTCTACTCTATTGATAACACATCGTTTCAAGTGGCAATTTATTGCACCGGTGACCTAAGAGATTTGAACAAAGGATATGAGTCTTGATATCCGTACTATTTGGAATAAAGCTCGACATGTCGCCCCACCATAGGTTAACAAAGGATCGCACTGTCTAGACTATTCTCGGAATCGCCTCGCTTGCCAGTCATGTCACCATTGCTTTTGTTGTCAATTGAATAAATCTTCGTGACATGTTGCCACTTAAATGGGGTTTCTTGGGAAGCTAGGAATGGGAGCGTGTATTCAGCTCTTGGTAGTTCTAATAATTGTTGCCGCAGTCCTACCTACATTTGCGATACGTCATCCACAACCTGATGTCGAGTTTTCCATAGTTTTGTCAGCAGCGAGGCGATTTCTGGTGATTGTAGTATTTTGCTTGTTGTCAAAGTAATACACAAGGTTTGTTGACTTGTTGAGAAAGGCTGTCGGCTTGGGAATGGAAGCACATCACGTTTCCATCCCCTGAGGCTTTCCAGATACGACACTCGTGACCACTCTTCGTACAAAACCACAAGGACAGGCATTATATTTAAGACGAGTTTGTTTCAATTGAGTAAGTCGGCATAATGTTTTGAGATCATGACTTCCATCGTGTTGCTGATTCTCTCGGCACCTAAATCACCTATTCAGCAACACCGTTACGTTGGATATCTGCAATGGATCCCAATTATATCGCGTCATATTCAGTGATGAAGAATTATACATCTCTTGAACCTAAGTTAGATTTGAGGATATGAATTAAACCGCTTACAACATATGTTAGGCATAACTTGGAACTCGCTATGGCCTGAAATATGCCTCCTAATCTTGCACATACCTTAGTAGATGTCAAACAGCCTTGATAGTATGTCACCGAGCTCGTTATCGTTGAAGAGCTCCTCTTATACATCACTCGGGATCCGTATAAACTTGACTTAAAGACATAGTGATTCCACTGGCCCCTGGGCAACCTGTTGTCTTCCCTCAAAATGACACTTCGGACAGCATTTAGTAGTGTAGTCGACTTAAGCCTCATGTGGGGAGAGAACCACACTACGTCGCATTCAGTCTATGTAGCCTTCTCTTATGTTGACAAACTGATACACAGAACATCCCACACAGCAGGACCGCCTTTGATTATCTGCACCTTCCTAGACTGATCCCACTGCAGGGGACCTGCCTTCCTGAATAAGGGACTCCATCGTGCCTGCCGTTTAGTCGACCTCACTGTGCCTGCTAAGAAAACATCGCATCCCGTCCCAACTGAACCACTACATCTTCCCCCACCCAAAGGCATTCATCACCTACACTTTAACAATTCAATGACAAAAGCATAGAAACAAGGATTGTCTTCTCCCTCTTCTTCCGCAACAAGGAAGAGCAAAAGTCCATTTACCTTCTACACCCTACACCGAACACCCCCTCTTCCCGCTTGTCCCATGTGCACATACAAATCGCACCTTACACTCATATCACACATACTCAACCAGGACCCCTGAGGGATTACTTGCCCATTCGTATCTCATGGACTCCTGAGCGTTCAGGACCACACTTGCCTCTTTCTGCTCTCTGCTTGACCGCCCTCATTCGCAGCTGCCAGACCTACAGCAGGCACACCTCACTTCACGGCCACGTCCATACGTCCTCGGACCCTTTAAGGAATCCATTGATTCTTCATACTCGAACAACAGCTGAGCACCCACGATACGCGAGCCTCTACATCCTCTCGAAGGTCTCGTTGGTACCTTTCGCATACACACATCTCACTCACGGGCGTGTATCAAAACAACTACATCCGGGAGCTCTGAGAAGTTTCTTCCCACTTCGTACCTCACCGATAACTGAGTGCACAGGCTACACCTCTAACAGCCTCGTTCGTACCTTCCTCAGCCCTCCTCTGAACGATCTTATTTGACCCTTCCGCTCACGCGCCTCACGTCACCTCACGGGGCTTATATCCACCGCCTGAGATCTTTCAGCAACCCTTCCCCCTTCATACCTCTCAAACTTAGGTATCGACAAGACCCTTTTCTACAATATTTTCTTGCCATACTGGGCTCGCATCACATCACATGTTCACAGTCCGCGACCCTTGAGCAACTCTTCCCTTCTTCACACCTCACCGACCGGGGTATTGCCTGCGCACTTTTCTACTTTACGACTCACATCACCAGAGCTCACACTACTTTATATCTTCTAAGCCCTTGAGCTTTGTTATATCCCTTCCCCTTCACACCCATTCTCCCGACCGACTGGAAGCACCAAACTTTCGTCTTCTCGTCTTTCTCACCCTCTCGCGCAGTACAAACAGGTAAGTTCTTGGATTACGTGTGGGCATTTATTTTCTCACGACTCTCAATTTTTATATACGCTTAACCGCCATCACTCTATGAGGAAACCCTCATATCGCAGCCTACAGTTCATCTCGATCATATCCCAAAACCCTCTGCTCTTTTACTGACACTGAAGCCGCAGGTCGATTTGATAAGCACCACGAGTTGTGCGTCGTCATCACGCAGGAGCAATAATCGACAAATCCTCCATTAGCAGCTATCCAAGTTCACGAGAGTCGCAAAGCACAGTTCATCAGTCCTGGACTACTTTAATCTGCAATATTCCCCAGCCCTCTTCCCATCAAAGACGCCTCTTCCTACCCAACACACCTCAGAACCGTACATCGACATCTCCGCGTTTCTTCTTCGCTTGATATTAGCGCATACCTGAATCACATCGAACCGGCCATTCACCATAACTTCCACGCGGTCCATTCGAACGCTAGATCACTTCATTTTAGAAGCGACAACAGTCAGAGCCCTCATCAGACTTGAGACCGTTTCTTTCCGACCATATATCTCTAGCGTCCCGATACCTGGCTTACTGCACCGAGCATATATCGTCAAAGCGTTCACCAAGCGCGTCTTGACTGTCAGATATCGTACCTAAGGAAAGAAAGAGAATTACAAGCATACCGTGAAGATGGTCTTGGGCATGGACTCGTGGTTCGTCTTGAAGTGTCGCAACATCCACAAGCGCTTCGACCTGTGCCACAACACTCAGGTGATGCTGCAAGCTCTGGAAGACACCAAAACAGGGACCATTGACATGGCTGAGCTCGGCCGGATGCTTCGTCTGAGCTCCAAGAGACGTCAGGCCATGATCGACACTATCCGAAAGTGTACCGAGAGAATGACAAAGCAGAAAAAGAACAAGCAAGACGAGACAAGAGAATGCGCCCTGCTCATTCATATGTGCACCGAAGTCTTGGAGATTGCCAGTAAGTGCTTCATGAACTCAACGACGTTGATGTTCTTTCAGAGATTGTTATGGGTACATCGGAATGGAAATGTCCATAGAGTAACTAACTCCTGTATTGCAGACCGCCCCTCTCCTACCGTCTTCCCGTTCATGAAGTTGCCCCGTGAGATTCGAGCACGTGTGCTTCACATGGTCGTTGAGACCAGCTCCAAGGCCTGCAGAATGCCTGCCCTCAAGCGCATCCAAGACAAGTACCGCTGCAACT